GCCTATCCCATATTAGTTAAGAATGAATATATATATATATATATATAACATAATATGTACTGCTATGAGACATTTCATTGAGCAGTTGGTTGGCGCCTCTAATGGGTTGCACCAGCAGGTCACCACGACCTTTGCCCAAGGGCAATAATAAAGAGATAGCAATGGCACTAATTTAAATTTGTCTTTGTGTGCACCTGAGAAGATAATGGGGCAAAAGAAAGACAGAGCATACAAAAAACTAACTCAAAATTGAATTGCAATTCATCAGAGCACCAAGTATTTCGTAAAACTGAACCTATGAATAAGATAATATGTAATGCTCAGCAAAGTGAATTTCTTTTTAATACAGAAACATCTTCTAGAGTTCAAAAAGCTTCCTTTTGGACACAGAGATGTAAACCATCAATACCATCTCCCCACAAGGTTAACAAATCCCTTATGAAAAGGTTAAACGTAAAGATACACACACATACATAAAACCAATATGCTAATTCGCTGCTAATGATCGATAAAGTTAGATTAAGTAAGAAATAAAACGTACCATGCATAATATCTTGAGAATTTGAAGGATTACTAAATTCTATCATTCCACTATAAAATCACTATTGCCCACCATGTCTAAAATCCTCTGCAACTTAGACTCTAATTTTTGTTCTTCATCCATAGCTAACCTTTCACCAATAATTAAGAGTATTTGCTTTGGGTAGGAGAAGGATTGAGTAGCTCTGGGTATGAGAAGTGGGAAAGACACAATGAAGGATAAGAAGAGGGTTTAGGTATCAAAATAGAAGAAGACGCTCTGAAGAAGACGTTCTGACTTCTTTTTTTATTTTATGTTAACTTTTCTTAATTTTAATTATCAAAACATTAATTTAGAATTATCAAAACATTAATTTAGAATTATCAAAACATTAATTTAGAATAAGGGTATAAGAGGAAATAGAAATAACAAAAAAGAAAAAAATTGATTAAAAATTATTATAAAGCAAAAGGGAGTGTAAGTGGAGAATTTGGGAGTGGGGAAATCAGCTCCCATTGAAAAAATGTAGGTTTTACACATTTGATTGCTGGAGTTTTTTCAAAGGGGTCAATGGTAAAGATTGCTGAGAACATCAATCACCGAGTTTTTATTTGCTTGGAAAAGGACCTTTTTTTCATTAGGATAATTGGTTGAGAACTGCCAACTGGTTCACTAAGAAGGTGAAAGGTCATGTCCTTGTTGCTGAATGTAAGAATGTAGTCATGGCTGCTCTTGCATCCTGTATATGAATATAGAAAAACTTCAACATTATTGCAATACCTTTAGCCGACATTGATTTGGCTGATTGAAGGAAAAAGTTTGTTTTGTTGGTTTAGGGACATTGATTTTACAGTTGAGTGTTGAGGTACTTTAGGGACTTAATTCTTGTTGGTTTTCATATTTGCTTGTCTTAACTAGCCTTGTGATTTTACAGTTGAGGTTCTGTTGTGATCAATGTTTATACTCAAAATGATTTTTCCACACAAAATGATTTGGTCTATACTCAATTCAGATTATAAAATTAGGTCTTTGGCTTTGAAAACTTGTTTGAGGAATTCTTGTAAGTAATTAAACTTAAATTAATATGCTTGGACTTTAGTCGACACGTTCGCCTAGCATAAGAAATTCAGTCATGTACTAGCATAATGAGGAGGCTAATATTATGAATTCTCACTCAATTCAGGGTCAGCCATGACTTTTGGGTGGCCCTAGGCTAGAAATGAAAATGAGGCTCATTTCTCTTTCATTCTCCTGAATATAATAAACTAACATGGAAAAAAAAATTCAATTAAATACAATTTGGATAAATAGACACGGCTCCAATATTGCCCATATAATCGCTTCCCCAATCTGAAAATAAACAAGAATAAAGATACAAATAATTTGCACTCTTTCATATTTCCTCGCTAAATAATCTACTGACAAGAATTTTTGGATAAATAAAAGAATTTCTAGTCCCTATTGGCTTTCTTTCATTGATTGCTACTTTTCGCAATTAAATACTTAAATACATGCAATTGATATTCA